TGGGTAGATAAGTACTTTTGAATAAATTATACTGAAACAACTATAATGAAAAATTATTTAAATCAATAAACAAATATTCATTTACTTTATCCAAAAATTAAAATAAATTGTTTATTACAAATATCAAATCACATCACAATAAATTAATAAACACTTAAAATAAAACAATCTCGTTATCCCAAACACCCCTTGACCTCCATCAATCACGTGATACTTTATGTAGTGATAATCAGTTGTTCTGAGTTAATTATAAGTCTTGGATTTTTGGTCACAATAGAAGTGTTCTTATAGAAATATATGCAAATCACAGGAAATAGCAACATATTTTGTCTTGTTTTTTCTATTAAATATTTTTACTTCAACTTCTTATTGAGTCAATCAGAAACCATTATAGTTTATCTCAAGAACATGCCATTAATTATGTTAGTAAAATCAAAACAAAAAAGTTACCTTCTATTAGAGATAAATAGTATTAGAGATAAATCATAGTTATTTATTGTATTTATCTAATCTCTGTATTTTAGCATATTCTGTTATGTACTCTCTGTATTATATATAGTATTAAATACAATGAGATCTTCAAGGGTAAATTTTATACGCCTTATATGGTATCAGAGCGGGTTCCTTTTCTTCTCTCTCACCATGACTGGCGGCAACTCATCTTCTGCTTCTTCTTCTTCTTCTGATTCTTCTCTTTCTCTTAACACCATTCTCCATATGCTCATTGTTAAGTTATCCCCCACAAATTATTTACTATGGCGCAATCAGCTTCTCACTCTTTTCGCTTATCAAAAATTATCGGGCCACATCGATGGCACCACCGTCGCACCTTCAAAAACTTGCACCCCTGATGCTACCGGTGTTTCTGCCCCAAACCTTGCGTACGCCTCCTGGCTCGAATCAGATCAGAAAGCTTTTCTCATCCTTAAAGCTTCTCTCACCGAAGCTGCAATGGCCGAAACCCTAGGTCTTACCACAGCTCACGAAGTATGGAATGCTCTTCAAGTTGCTTATCGACAAGACTCTCAAGAACGTATGCATGTTCTTCGTGACATCCTGCGTCAACTTCAAAAAGGATCATCTTCTGTTTCAAAGTTTGGTGCAAAATTCAAATCCATTTGTGATCAGCTAGCCGCTATTGGCAGCCCTGTTGATGATATAGATAAAAAACATTGGTTTTTATGTGGGCTCGGAGCTTCATTTGAAACCTTCTCCACTACTTATCGTGCTCTCAAACCAGCTCCAAGCTTTTGTACCCTCGTGTCCCAAGCTGAATCTCATGAATTATTTCTAAAAATGATCCATGGAACTACAGTTCCTACTGTTGCTTTTAACACCACTCGTCATTCCTCATCCTCAACTGCTTCATCTTGTAGTAACTCATCTGGTGACAGATACTCGGGACGAGGAAGGGGTACTCAACATGGTGGTCGGGAAAGGGGGCGTTTCCCTCCTCATTGTCAGTTGTGCAGGAGAAATGGCCACTATGCCAACTCTTGTCCCAAATTGAGCTCCTTTGCAAATCAAGGATCGGCTTCCACCACCAATCTTGCTCAAGCTTTTCAAGCTCAATGTCATGTTACCAACAATTCTCTTGATTGGTATGTCGATTCTGGAGCAACATCACACATGACATCTAATTCTACACATCTTGACTCCACCAGTCCTTATGCTGGTGCTGATCATGTCATCTTTGCAAATGGTAACTCTTCTTCTATTTCCCATATTGGCACAAAAACTCTATCTCCAGCCATCAAGTTATATGATGTGCTTGTTATCCCTAATATAACCAAGAATCTCCTAAGCATTAGTAAGCTGACTGATGATGCTCCTCTTGATGTTTTATTTTGTAATCCATTTTTTGTAATTCAGAATCGGGTGACAAAGGAAATACTGGCAAGGGGAAAATGTGAGAACGGATTGTATGTGCTGAAGCAAGGACATCAAGTTTTTCTTTCTACTTTAAAATCTTCCAAAATAAGTGCATCATATGAATTGTGGCACAATCGCTTAGGGCATGTTTCATTTGACATTATTTCATTACTTAATAAATTAGGTGTTTTGTCTATTTCATCTTTATTACCTACACCTCATGTTTGTTCTTCATGTCAATTGTCTAAAAGCAAACAACTACCGTTTCCAATCAATCCCAAACGATCACTACGAGTGCTAGATTTAGTCCATTGTGATCTTTGGGGACCTGCACCCACAGAATCTATAGATGGTTATAGATATTATTGCATTTTTATTGATGACTTCTCACGATTTACGTGGTTTTATCCTCTAAAGTTAAAGTCTGGTTTCTTTAATGCTCTTACCACATTTCTAGCCTTTGTACAAACTTAGTTCTATTGCAAAATAAAAGTTTTTCAGAGTGATGGCGGGACCGAGTTTGTTAATAATCGGGTCCGCTCACTTCTTGCCACTAATGGGACTCATCATCAGCTCTCGTGTGCCTATACTCCTCAACAGAATGGCAGAGCGGAACGGAAACACAGGCATCTTACTGAAACGGGTCTTGCTATGTTATTTAATGCACAAGCTCCAGCAACTTTGTGGGTTGATGCTTTCAGCTCAGCAGCCTATATTATCAATCGACTGCCATCTAAGATTCTTGATTATAAGAGCCCATTTGAGCTTCTATATAATTCATCTCCAAACTATAATGTATTTCGAGCATTTGGGTGCACTGTCTTTCCTTATTTACGTCCTTATGCATCAAATAAATTGGAACCTCGAAGTGCTCCATGTATTTTTATCGGCTACAGTTCTCAATATAAAGGATATCGATGTTTGGATCCGACATCTGGTCGAATTTATACCACACGCCATGCTGTCTTTGATGAAACCCAATTTCCATTTAGTGGTCTCACTTCTCCATCCGATAAGGCCACCTTGGTTTTTTCTCGGTTTGATGACATTGCCTCGTCATTATTTCCAGCATCACCTCCCGAGGAATCATCTTCACAACCATCATCGGCTACGATTTTTCCTGCTCCGGTAGCTCCATGTGTCTTATGCTCTCCATCAGCGACCCCCACTTCTTCAAATATTGTTCCACTTTCTACTGCCATACCGTCACAGCCTTCATCCTCGACAACAAACGCAACACCACTTGTACATCCTGCTGCAACAGACCAGCCTCCAGTCACGGTGCCTTTCAGACCTTCATCTTCCACACATCCTATGGTGACTCAATCTCGGGAAGGTATTTTCAAAACTAAGCATTTCGTTGATCTTGCTTATCTCCAACAATCACCATTGCATCAATTACTTTTTGCTGCTAAAGTGCCTTGGGGGTTTAAGTCTGCCTCTAAACATCCACGTTGGCTATCCGCTATGGAAGATGAAATGCATGCGCTACGTTCTAATAACACTTGGTCTTTGGTGCCTCGACCACTAAACTCAAATGTAGTTGGCTCAAAATGGGTATATCGCATTAAGTATAACTCTGATGGCACAGTACAACGTTACAAAGCACGTTTAATTGCACAAGGTTTCAGTCAGATTTCTGGTCTTGATTATACATATACTTTCAGTCCTGTTGTTAAGGCTGCAACTGTCCGCATTGTTCTTTCTTTGGCTATCATGCATCGTTGGCCCTTACACCAATTAGATGTTAACAATGCCTTTCTAAACGAGCGGCTTACAATAACAGTCTTCATGGAACAACCCCCAGGATTTTCTGACACACGGTTTCCCAATCATGTTTGTCAACTTCATAAAGCCCTCTACGGTCTTAAACAAGCGCCACGTGTCTGGTTTCAGCGTCTCAGCTCATTTCTTGTCTACTTTGGTTTCGTTTGCAGTCGAGCAGATACCTCACTTTTTGTTTTTAAACGTGACATTATACTCACAGGTAATGATCCTTCTCTCATTCGCAAATTCATTTCCAAATTGCACTCTGAATTTGCTGTTAAGGATCTTGGCACTTTAAATTATTTTTTGGGTCTTGAAGTCTCCTACACAGATGATGGTTTATTTCTGACACAAGCCAAGTATGCCCATGATATTTTACTTAGAGCCAACCTGCTTGACTCTAAGCCAGTTTCTACGCCTTTAACCACTTCCGAGACACTTGTCTCCACTGGCTCTCCTGTTTCGGATCCTACTACATATCGCTCATTAGTTGGTGCCCTACAATACCTCACCATCACCCATCCAGACTTGTCATTTGCTATTAATCAAGTCAGTTAGTTCCTGCATGCTCCAACTATTGATCACTTTCAAGCAGTTAAAAGAATTCTACGATATGTTAAGGGCACTCTAACTTACGGGCTGCACTTTACTCATCCACGATCATCTTCAATTCTTGGCTATTCAGACGCAGATTGGGCTAGGTGTATTGATACATGTAGGTCCACCTATGGTTATTCAATATTTCTTGGTGGTAATCTTGTCTCCTGGAGTGCTAAGAAGCAACCTATTGTCTCCAGGTCTAGTTGTGAGTCAGAATATCGGGCCATGGCAAACACAGCTGCTGAAATAGTATGGATCACTCATTTACTACGTGAATTATTTGCTCTTCCTCCTGATCGACCTACATTGTTGTGTGATAATAAAAGTGCTTTATTTCTTAGTCAGAATCCAATTTCCCACAAAAGAGCTAAGCATATTGACATTGACTATCACTTCATTCGCGAGCTCATTATTTGTGGACAGCTATACACGCGTTTTGTGCCAACTGCTTTACAGATAGCTGACATTTTCACCAAAAGTCTTCCAAGACCACTATTTGAGAAATTTCGAGCCAAGCTGCGTGTTGGTCCCCCACCTCTGCGCTTGCAGGGGGTATTAAAGATAAATAGTATTAGAGATAAATCATAGTTATTTATTGTATTAAATACAATGAGATCTTCAAGGGTAAATTTTATACGCCTTATACCTTCTTCACAAGTATAATGTATTAATGTACCTAATAAAATGAATAAATGTATGTGTGTGCTTGAGACTTTCAGATTTGTAAACATCTAGCCTCCATCGATTCTTTGAATTTGTTCAACTCTAATTATCCTGCTTCCATAGATTACTTGAAGTCACTTTTAATTGCAATTTGATGAGTAGTTAACGTAATTAGTAATTACATGCAAGCTTGATGGCGATTACCACATAATATGCCACATAAGCAACATAAATTTAAATGTTAAATCTTGCTATATAGTTCACATACATTTTCATGATGCTCTAGCAAGATCTCTCAAAAAAGAAACCACATCATCTGAAGTATCGAGCCTGTATCGAGCATTTGTACGTTTACGCCCAACCGCACACGAAAAATAGTTATCCCCTTTCAAATCAAGTACGTTCCACGTTATTTTATCCGGGGATTGTGACGACCGCCTCCCACCATTCCCAACACTGTTACTGCTACTGCTACCACTACTGTTAATACCATTACCGGTACTGCTACTGTTATTGTTACTGTTATTGTTTCGCTTGTTTTCTGTATTTCGTTGAGTTTGCTTCTGAGATGATTTCGAACCACTTCTCCCGGACTTCCTATCTCCACACGACTTTGTCGCATCACTTATCTTCGGTCTCACGATGCCGATGTTGTCTGATGGAAGCTCCGGCTCGAAAAACGTGTAAATATCTTCGTCCTATAAACATTATGACTTTAATTAATAAACATTTTGAGAAAAATATATTTATTTGTTAAAACATAATTATAGATTGGAGTGTATATTCGTATATACCTTCCCTAGGGAATGGCCTACACATAGGACATAATCGATAGGCGCCGAAATTGATTTGCTGTGAACTATCTCTCCTAATATTCGAACAATTGTAACACCCTATAAAGATTGATTCAAAAAATATTAAATTAGAATATCTTGTAAGCTTATTTACTCGAATATTTATTTAACATTAGAGACAGAGACAGAGACAGAGACAGAGACAGAGACAGAGACAGAGTGCACCTTTGTAACACCGACGGCTCGAACCTCAACAGATCGGCTACCTTGGACAACATCGACTGACGCATTGGATATAGGGCCTGTCCAAAGATGCTGTAACATGTCTCTAGCTTGCAGCCTCCCAAATTCGACATCTGTGTTGACAAACAATTTAAAAAGGGTAAATTACTTATAGTTTCATTATAAATGTGAACATAAGAAGCATATACCTGAATACTTGTAGTTCCATACAAGTGATGTCTCACGAAGCTCGAAATGAGATCGAGGTGTTCTTTCGGTAAAATACTCAAACACATGCTGTCAAGAGTTTATTAAGTTTAAAAAATAAGTAAATAAAGTCAAAAAATGGATAAAAATAAACCTTAAAAACTGCAAAAAAACGAAGTGGTAATTAATACCTTTACACTATCAACCCATTCCATATTTGAATGTTCAGGCATCGTTGTCATCCAGTCACCTCTAGTGGACCTCAAAAACATTCCATTTTCAGCAGCCAACCACATGTCGTAATCACCAAAGTTCTACAAACATCAAAATAAACAAAAATTAAAATAATAAAAAAAAAAAAAAAAAGCCAAGAAAATCCAAACGAGACTAAATGACCATTTTACCCCTACATTACAAAAAAACAAATTCCACAATGTTGATCAATGTTAACAATATTTTTAGAGGAGTTGGGAGGGGAAAAAAAGGAAAATAGGTTTTTTAAATGGTCTGAATGAGAGTAAATGACCATTTCACCCTTTTAGAGAATGTACCTCATCAAGTACACCTCTGTCACTTCCACTGAGTACAACGACTGTGGTTTTTGGATCACTACAAAGCCTAGTGAGAGGTTGTTTCAAATCCGGGTGTAATTTAAGATCCATTTCTCTTATCTGATCACCTCCACGTCTATCAGGACTATCAACAGGTTCAGTTAATGTCGCATTAAATCCCTGTACATTTTTTTTTTTAAATATATATATATAAAAAAAAATCAATATCAGAATGCAAATTTTATAAACTGAAATGTAAGTTTTCTTTTACTTGCCAGTATAAGAAGTCTGTTGCTTGACTGCAAATATCGGTCAATTGCCTCTTCAACAGGAAGCGAAGGTGGAACTTGTCTAATTCTTTGTTGTGCTTCAAGCACAGTATCATTTAGTTCACTACATAAATTTCAAAAACAATAAATCTTTAGATCCTTCAATGGTAAATTTCAATAAACAGCAAGGGCATTTTGGTCATTTTGTACATACCTTACAAAAGTTTCTGCCCATTCCTGAGCAGTGTGAGTTGTGACATGTGAGAAATTATGTAAATGACGTTTTTCTCTTTCTTCAGCTGACATGTTTAAAGCTTGGCCTATGGAAGCTGCAACTTCAGTTATGTTCCATGGGTTAACAAGAATGGCCCCTGCACCTAGGGACTGAGCAGCACCAGCAAACTAGAGGAATACAAGTTTATAATTTATAAAAAAAATCTTGAATTTTTTTTACTTTTTTTTTTTTTTTTTTATAAGATTAAGAATAAGAGTAATGAACTAATGATAAATTGATGATTACTTCACTTAAAATGAGAACTCCTCTTTTCTCATCTTGGCATGCGACAAATTCATAACTAACAAGATTCATTCCATCTCTCAAAGATGTCACAAGTGCTATATCTAGTAAAATCAGAAGAGTATAAAAATATATTGTCAGTAAAGAAAAAAATGCAATATTTCCTTTTTTAGAATTATTATTAAATATAAGATGATGGAATTTAAAGCTTGATAAACATACCAGTGACAGCATACAAAGCACATAAAGCTTGAAAATCAAGAGAACGATCCTGCAAATATTGTGAAATGAAATTACATTGTTATTATAGGTAAAGAATAAATTACATTGCTATTATAAGAAAAGAAATATTAATATAAAAAAAAGTACATTGCTATTTTATTTACCAGATGGTGAATTGGAACGGTTGTTAATGTGCCAAATCTACCATTTATCCGTCCCACAATTTCATGAACTTGACTAGTGAGTTTTTGATCTGCAATACCACATAATCGAAAATCAATGAAATGAAATGAAAGTATGTTGCTATTATGGAGACATACATTCAGGAACATCGGTTCTTGTTGGTACTGCAATCTGTAACAAAACCACTTTATCATGCCAATATTGATTTTCCTCTAGAAACTTCTCGAACGCGAGTATCTTTTGTGGAATCCCTTTGATCATATCTAACCTATCAACACCTAACATCACCTGTAAAAAGTAAAAAAGAAAAGAAAATAATCAAGAATCTAGAAAAAAATAATTAAAACGAATAAAAAAAAAAAAAGTTAAAAAAGTAAAATTACCTTTCTCCCGGAAAATCTCTCCTTCAATTCCCTTATGTGCTCTTGGACTTGAGGAGCCTCAAGAGCATGTATGAAGCGATCTGAATCTATACCAATTGGGAACTGTATTTCCATAAATTAAAAAATTAAAAAAAATCAATTTACAATTTTATATAAAAAAAAAACTTACTGCTGCAACACGAGTAAGCCTCCCTTGATCCTCTACTCCTTCAGGTGTTCCCTCGAGTCCCAAAATACGAGTACACGCACTCACAAAATGTCTTGCATAATCATACGTATGAAAACTGCAAGAAGTAAAAGGTAAAGTGTGTTGCAAACTTGCAATTGTAAATAATAAGAAAATTACAATCTTACCCCACCAAATCAGCAGCAAGAACAGCACGTAAAAGTTCGGATCTAGAAGGTAAAGTCCGATGAATTTCCGAAGAGGGGAAAGGCGTATGAAGAAACCAACCAACTTTCATGTTTTTGTTATGATCTTTGAGACATTTTGGAAGAAACATAAGATGATAATCATGGCACCAAACCACATCACCTTCTTCATAATGCTCGTTTACCACGTCAGCAAACATTTGATTTGCTTTTTTGTAGGCAGCAAATTGGGATTGGAAGCTTCTAGTTGTCGCCAAACGATCTTCTTGTGGAAGTCCGAGGTAATGGAAAAGTGGCCATAATATGTTGTTGCAATACCCGTTGTAATATTGATGTACAATTTCTTCATCTAGAAACACCGGTATACACCTCTGCATCAAATATATTATTATTATTATTACTATTTCACTATTCATCATCAGTATTAACTTTTTTATTGAAAAATAAATAAATAAAGTGTAAATGGTTTTGTACTTTTGTAGTTTATACTTTTTACTTTATACAGTACCTTTTCTGCCAGTGCTTTAGTTAGTGCTCTCTGCCCAGGCTCATCTGGGACATTTACACCAGCCCATCCAATCCATTTTGCCTCCACCTCCTTCACACCTAAATTTTTAAAAGAAAAATTTATAATAATAACTAAATTTTAGATTCAAATTACATTAAATATGTGATAATGGAAGAAAAAAAGAAGGAAATTTAAACTTTTTTTTTTTTACTAGTAATATACCCAAAAGAGCACTAACAAGGCCACCACCACTAACTTCAAGAGACCAACTTTCTTCACCTCTACGAACAGCAGAAACTGGTAGTCGATTAGCAACGACTAACAGTCGCTGTGTAAAAAGTCCACTATCTGGTTTTTCCCATCTGTCACGTGCAGCGGAGGCTCCTTCAAGATATTGTTCCACAAAGTCATCACCTTCCCTTAATCGCTGTTCATGATCCAAACCTTCATTGCCATTGCTATTGCTGTTTCCATTAGCGTCGTTAGAATTTGAAGCTTTGTTGTTCTTTCGTAGCCTTTGTCTCAACAGCCGATCTATTCGACTCGATGGGACTGGTGAATTCGCATTGTAATTATTCCCAGGCATAACCCCAATTTGTTCTAGATAATCAAAAAACCAAAAATTGAAGAACGTCAGAATCAAACACCGACTCGATCGATACAATTTGAAGGATTTTGTAGTAAATTAGAGGTTATATCGACGGAATTGAAGATTGGTGGATTTGAGAGAGAATAAGAGGGGAAGAAACAGAAGAATTTGGGTTTCAGATGAGAGATGAATAGTAATGAATAGTGTTGTAAGCTTTATAGAGTGTATGACTCACAGCCATGCAAGAGGTGAGGTGAATCAGCAAGATTTGTTGGGATGACGAGATTTCATTGATTCAATTAAATACTCATATACTTTTTTCATACTGATATTAAATGATTTCATTCATTGCTTAGGTCAGTAGAAGACACACGTAACCGAAACGAAGTCTTTCTGAAGTGGAGCCGAGGGTATTTATGATCCTTTTACTCGATTCCTTTTAGTTTTATTCTTCATCTTCAACAAATTATCTTCAATCACCTTTCAATAAAAACATAACTGTAAATGAAACATAAGATCGATATTGATAAAAATAATCAAAACCTGCAACTGGATAAACAGATACGTGTACCCATTGCTTTGAATGTTGTACATGTGGCAAAAACAGCAGCGTGGAAGAAATCAACCCCAAAATAGTCGGCTTGCATCAAGAAAGATGTTCAAAATCACGACCCTGAACGAATTAGATCGGTAGATTGATTGGATGGACGCCGTTGAGGAAGCATATCGAGTGGGCGGAGATGGAAAACAAAATGAAACCAACAAGCGGTGTTGATTGTTGAAGATGAGAAGATCCAAGGAGGAAGCAGCAGCAGCAGAAGAGAAAAAAATACGAAACCAACCACAACGATGAAGATGAAGCTCATCACTACGTTTATCTAAATTATGTTTTTGGATATCTTTCTCTATCGAGATGTTAATTGGTTTTAACTTTGTGTGTTTTATAAGATCTGTAAACTTAGATCGTGATAGTAAATGTTTGTGAAGTTAGACGGTAGCGGTAGCCGTAAGCTTATTTGTACAATATTAATAAAAATATTTATTAATTTTTAAAAATGTAAAATTATATGAAACTAAAAGTTAAAAACTTTAAAAATTACTTAAATGATTTTTCTAACATTTTCTTAAAAGTTAAAATCTCTCAAAAGCTTTGTGTGACATAATGACTAATTTCTAAGTTTTGAAAACCGGACTGGAGACCTAATCGGTCGTTTTACTGATCCGATGGTTCAAGTGGTTCAATTGGTCGGATTGGTCTTAAAAACCAGAAAAATCGGATGATATCATAATTATATTTAATTATATAAAAAATATAAAAAATGAAAAAAAATAATATTTTTTAAAAGTTTCGGTTTTGACCGGTTTACTGGTTCAATGGGACCGGTTTTCACCGGTTCACATGAATACCGTTTTTTGGCCTTTAAAAACCGGATCCGTGACTGGTTCCCGGTTGGCCGTCCGGTCCGGTTTTCAAAACATAACTAATTTCTAAATGAACTCAATCTTTAGTTTTAGAGAATCATAGGTTTAAATTTCCAACATTAAAGAGTCAGTACTTGCAATATAAGATGTCACCTTATGACTAAATATCCATTGGTTCGTCTACACATGAGTGATAATTTTAGGGAAATGATTTGTACACAACAGTTTTTTACCGTACACAACAATTTATGTATTATAGAGTTGTACAATACAACATTTTAAAACATCAATTGTTGTGTATGGAAAAAATTATTGTGTACAAATCATTTCGGATAATTTTGAACTAAAACTATAAATCTAGCTTATCTAATTTGAGATAATGAATAATTTAAGATGATAAATGAAACATCAAAATTATTTGATTTAGTCTAAATAGTTAATTAAAATAATACAGAGCCAACCGAAAACATAAAATCTAAATATCATTTATGTTAATATTTTTAAATATAAATCAATTAAATTTGTTTTCTTAGATTAAATAAAGTATTAAAAAGATAAAAGAAAACTATCATTTTATTGATATTCTTTAAATTTTTATAAAATATATAAATATTGCTAGCGATCTTATGATCATGCTCATGATTTTACGATCTTATAAACAATCTTCCAATCATACGTCGATCTTATCCCTAAATCGATCATGTTAAAATCGAGATTGTTTTTAGAAGGTAAGATTATTGTTATAGTACCTCTCATAATTTATTAAAAATAATCATTTTAGTTGTTATTATAGGCTCTTGAGGTGGACATGTGCCCCACATAACTCTTCTAATCATCTTATTAACTTGATAAAAACATCGAGCTCGGATCCATCCTTCACAAAGAATTGATAGTGGGAGTGATTAGGCTGTGGGAAGTTGTCACAACCAAACCACCAGCCAACTCAGCGTCACGTATGTATTTTACCATTCCACAACCAACCTATTACACTTTGAAATGATGTTCACCGGTTGGTTGGTAGTGATAGGGAAAAAAGGAATAGAGAGAAAGAGAGATGTGAGGGAAAAATAAAAGAGCTAATCAAAATGTGCGTCTTCATCCGTCTTCACAACCACTACAAACCACTTCATAGCCAAACCACTAGTCCATGGGGTGGTGTTCACCGATGAGTTAGTGTACCACATAGAAAACTCACGTGTGGTTTAATGCCTACTCCGGATAGCCTTACGTGAACGTTCATGATTATGGTGAGCCATATCTTTTTCAAGGGTAAACTGTATGTAACAATATGAAAAACAGTAACACTATGATGAATACCTTGTGTTTATTATGTTATAATCATTTTACTTTTTGAAAGTTTAAAATCTTATTCTTCTTCTTAATCAAAGGATATGACCATCTACTGGCCAATGCAAGGCTTTAGGAGTAGGGACACATGTCTCGATAGCTAAAATATTTTACATATAAATATTACAATTATTTTTAATTTTACTTTAAAACCTTTTTTTTTTTTTTTTTTTTTTTTTTTTTTTTTTAATTTCAAAAAGTGCCCTCAATAGAAAAAATATATGTTTGTGACCATCATCTTCTTTTCGGTTTATCTTAGTGTAGGTTAGGGACGAGCAATTTGTACCAAATCCCGATCACATACCAATATCGAACCGAACCGAACAAAATTTAAAAATATGGAACGGTACTCGGTACTACAAAATCACAAAATTATGGATTCGATACCGTCGGTACCGGTACTAATATCGAAAACTTGTACCATTTCCGGTCACAGTACTGGTAACGTTAATTCGGTACGGTACTCAAGATTGACTTTTGATCAAATTCGGTATTCGAGAAATCGGGAACGGTACCGGTTTCATCCCACACTCATCCCTAGTTTAGGCTTGATGGGGTGGACTCGCAGTGGTGATATGGACTCGGCGCACACTGTGCCTCGACCTTGGCACGCCAAGCTCCACGGCTGTTCTCGGCAATGGCACAACAAGTCTCTCTTCTTCCTCCTTTTTCTTCAAGTGATCATTTTGTGATAAATGTTCACAAAATATTATCTGGACTCCAAATGTTTGGGAATAACTCTACATTTTGTTTTTACTAGAGGCTAATCTTAAAATTATGATTAGAAAAAGATAATGAACAAAATAATCTAGAAAATATAAATTACTAATACAAGAGAAGAGAAGCATAAGTTTGATTATTACTATTATGAAGAAAAAAACCCTGTAACAAGAAACATAAAAAGTATAGCTTTCAAGTTTCGGAGGTCTATTGTGATTACGTTTCACATATATGAAAATAAATAAATAAATAAATAAAAAGCATCCAAAAACAGTGGTACATTTATCTTTATTTGATTTTTTTTATGAAGAGAAAATATCTATACGTTATGATTAGAAAATATTGCGAGGATCAAAAAGACAAAGAATGGTGGCAAGTTGGGGTAATTCGACAGGAACAAAATATGCGTCCTCGGGATTTTGCATTCCAAAACGACAACGCTTTACCAAATAAGTCGTCTGCCACAAACAAACTGCAGAATACTACAATTCATTGCACGGAATTTTTCACATGCATATTCATAATTTCATTTCCATTAAAAAATATCTTTTTAATCGTATTATATATACGGGTAATCAAATATATTTAAAATTAATATTAATAATTAAAATATATTATTTTACTGTTTTTTGTACGTCATATTTTCTTTTTAATATTTTTTTGTGTGGAGAATTAAAAGCGATATGGAACTAGTGATTAATCGTGTGTATATTAAACATATAGTTGCTTGCTTATATTCGATCTTAACCCTAATTTATCTATATATTAAAAAAAAAGGTCATATGTAAAATATCCAAAAGCATTAATATAAAAGAGACCTTTTTCCTTAATCATTCACTAATCAAACATCCTCCAAACAAACTTTCTGGTTATAGTAGAAAGTTAGAAATATATATACACAGGTATATCTAAACGAACACTTAAAGTTGATGATCATATGATCATGAACTCAAGAATTCTACATCGTGTTTGAATTTTCTTTTAACTTATAAGATCCAGAATCCGAAGTACGAATTCAGAACGCATTTCAACAAACTTAAACGACGCACACATATACATACATAACACGCTACATTTTCAGAAAGGTTTCATGATTTCTTCATCCATTTCTGGAAACTCATAATAATTTGTGAACGGAATTATAGCACTTAATTACTGTTATTCACTGAATTTTTTAGAAGATGGTGAATTAAGAGACGTTGATCGGTTTATTTCAGCTGAAATTCGTAATGAATACATGAAAAATAAGCTGACCTTGATTTAGTGTGAATCTACGGCGTTAAGTGCAGCAGCACTTTGATTGACAACCGGAGCTCGAGAGACTGGAGGAGTGAGGGAGGGGGTTTAAGAGTTTTAGTGGAGTGGAGGAGATTAAGTGTATTCCGCGTCACACTGAGCCAAAGAGTAGAGGAATCCTAAAAGTAAAAGAAAGAAGCTTTTGCCAAAAGCTGTTTTTGGTGCCTAACCATTTGAAGGCTCTGCTGATCAAATTATATTGTAATTTTTGTAAATTTATAATTTTCCGAAGAATATTCTTTATCTTATTAAAAGACTACAAATAAGAATAAGATAATGAGGATTGGGTTAGTTACTAACATAATTATATGAACAGACACAATTACAGTAATATACTAACATCTTCTCAAGTCTAAGAAATAGCATATACGGTAATCCTTAGTAAAAATGCTAGCTTCAATGACTATGATGGAATGTCAAGTACTCAAATCTGCCCCAATATGACTTTACCCCCAACAAAGTGTATTGTGAATCTCAATGAGCTTCCTACGTTGATATTGAACCGCGTTGTTTTAGACAATGAGCTTCCTATGTTGATATTGAACCGTGTTGTTTTAGAGATAGATAACACTAACATTATCGCAATAAATGATTGTAGTGGAAGTGTGCAACCTATGAAGTTCACGAAGCAGATTACGAATCCAACAGGCCTCAGCAACGATGTTGGCAACGCTTTGGTACTCAACTTCAGCACTAGTATGAGAAATAATGTCATGTCATTCGGAGGACCAAGAGAGTAAATTTTGACCAAGAAATACAAGGATATTGACCGATGAGTGATCGAATAACCCACCAAGTCAACATCAAGATAAGACCACGAGAGGATAATGTAAATAGTTGTAGGTCCTAATCGATGGTACCATGAACATATATGAGAATCCGTTTAAGAGTTGTAAAATTAAATGTGGCTCACGAGAATCATGCATGTAAAGACAAACTTGTTGACCAAAATAAGCAATATCCATTCAAGTAAATGTATGGTATTAAAGTGCACCTGCGAGGATGTTGTTATGTGGGTCGAAACCATCAAGTCTGGTGCTGATAACGATAGGGGTGCAAGCAGGATTTGCAGTTAAATATTTTGGCCCTTTCTAAAATTTCGAAGTCACTTCGATAACTTCCACCATTGGAGTATGTGTTATTGTTGCCCAAATTTTGATAAATAATTGGTTTCTTATTTGTTCAACCGTGAATATTGTAGGAGAATAACCAGAATCAATAATTTAGGGAGACTGATTATTTACTTGATTCATTCTTTATTCTTTGAGAATGAGCATCGAATAGGTTTTCAAGAATGAAAAAAGTGGTGA